CACCTTCAAATGACTCACTGATGGTCGTTTTCCACTTCATACTTATTTAGGAACATTGCTCTTCAATATCTTGGTAGGGTGCATGTTCAAAATATAAACTGTAGTCGAAACAGCTTCACCCCATAAAGATTTTGGAAAATTCTTCTGCTTTAGCATGCATCTCTCCATATCCAATATGGTTATGTTTCTTCTCAACAATTCCATTATTTTGAGGAGTATAAGCAGAAGTTACCTCATGATCAACACCATGTTCTGCACAGAATTTTTCAAACATCTTTGAAGTGTATTCGCCAACTCCATCTGTTCGCAAAACTTTGATCCTCTTCTCACTATGGTTTTTGAAAAGCATCTTGAATCTCATAAAGATTTCAAATACTTCTTCCTTTCTCTTGATCATATAGACCCACAACTTTCAACTAAAATCATCGACAAATGAAACAAAATATCTGTTTCCACCAATGGTATGTTCTTCGAATGGACCACATACATCTGAATGTACCACTTCGAGTATTCATGATGATCTCATTGATAGTCGAAACAAAAGAGTTTTTGGATTGCTTTCTAACTAAACAACCTTCACAAAGTTTGTCGTGCATCTCAAGACTCGGGATACCAAATACTATATCTTGAGTAATCAGTTGATTGAGTGACCTAAAGTTCAAATGTCCAAACCTCAAATTCCACAACCAATTATCCTTGTGGTCGACAATAATTTTTAGACATTATACTTCAGTCAAACTGATCATAGTCTTAAACGTCTTGTTCTTTGACAGGATATTTTAAGACCAAATTATTTTTGGTGTCGAACAATTTTAAAACTCCATCTTTCATGACAACTGAGAAACCTTTTTCGACTAGTTGTTCAACACTTAGCAAGTTACACTTCATTCCAGGTACATAGAGCACATCATTGATCATAGCTTTCCCTCCATTACTCATTTGAAATACTATGTTGCCAATATCTTTTGCTTGCAACGAACTATTATCAACAAGTTTTACCTTGCTCTTCTTCAACTCGTCAAAATCTGCCAACCACTTCTTTCGACCAATCATGTGATTCGAGCAACCTGAGTCGAGGAACTAGATCTTAGATTCGACATAGTTATCTGCAACTGCAACCGTAACCACCATACCACCTTCAGAATCATCTAAATCTTGGCGTGCAAGGTTTGGTTCTTCGTCCTTTCTTGTCGATCCCTAGTCTTTTCTGTACCAACAAGTCTTGACTACGTGAGCCCACTATTCACAGTTATAGCACCACACACATGTTTTTATCTTTTTTTCCCTTTCGATAGTTTCCTCCTACTCCTTTCGAGGATTCAGAAGCTCTATCTTCGACCTGATGCTTGTGAGGTTTCAACCAAGACTTCTTTCCTTGAGTCTTGTTGACATTGCCTTTAAACTTGTTGGAACCACCATTCATTTTCCATGATTGGGCTTGCAGTGCCTGTATCGAGTCCTGAACTCATTTCCTTTTGACAATCCTCATCTCACACGCCTCCAACGAACCAACCAAATCTTCCACTTTTAGGGTTTCAAGATTGTTGGATTCTTGAATAACTACAATAACATGATCAAAGTGAGAGGTCAACGTTCTCATTACCTTCTCAATTATCATCTTATCAGTTATGGTTTCACCATAACCCTTCATGAGATGAACGAGTTTCTGAACCCCCGACATATATTCTGCAACTTTTTCGTCTTCTTCCATCGACAATAACTCATATTGTCGACACAAGGTTTGTAACTTGACAACCTTAACTTTCTCATCTCCTTTGTAATACTTCACCGGAATATCTCATGCCTCATTCTCCGTTTCAACATGAGAAATCTTGTCGAAGTTAGCAGCATCGACCGTCATTTGAATGCAATAAGAAACTTTGCAATCTTTCTTCTTGACTTCGTTGTGGGCTTTTTTCTATTCGTCGGTTGTATTTACAGCCATCGCAGGAACGCCGTTGGTAACCACTTCCATGGTTTCATGGAAGCCAAACAAGGATTGCATCTGTTTTTTTCATCGAATCCAAATTTTGCCGTCAGACATTGGAAGAGAATTCAGAATGCCGTTATCACTAGTCATCTCCGCAACAGTTGATTCACTTGTCTTGAAAACACGATCTCTGACGTGAATTTCTTGAAAACACGATCAAGAACAATAACGGAAAGCTTTAGATACCAATTTGTTAATGCGTGAAACCCTTTTAGTGAAGAGAGAAAGAGAGAATAATAAAGGAAATAAGAATTATATTATTTACTTGAATTGTATTGTACAAATAATAATACAGACTATGACTATTTATATACAATCTTAATTAAATTTAAATTAACACAATTTAGATTATATTTAAATATTAAATCTAATCAAAATAAATTAATATTTCAACACAATTCTATCAAAAAAATATTTTTACCATTTTCTCTAAGAGCCCTATCAATAATAAACCAAACAACAACAATGTACCATTTTCTAACTTTTTGTAACTTCTGTGTGTTTTACCTTTCTCCAAAGGATACATTTATTTTTTAAAAACTAGATCATGAGTCATGACTCTTCAAATACACCATGGAAGTGAGATAGAGAATCAACAACCAATCAAATGGGCGCGTGGAGTATAATGCCTTGACTGCAATTGGGAAAATAATTATTAATTGGAGAATCGTATCATCACAATGACGCAATCATGAAACGTCAGATCGCTAGTTTCCATGACATCACTCTCGTTTTTCTCAACACATCTGTTCATACTACATGCTTTTTTTAAGCATCCAAAGTCTTCCCACATCATTAAGACATTAACTTTTTTTTTTTAAAGTTTTGTACGTAGTTAATTTGAAAGTTGTTTATAGTGTTAATCTTTCCATCTTATAATAATTGTCTTATTTTCATTTTTTAATGTCTTAAAGTAAATATTTTTTAAAAATATTAATATAATATTTATTATTATAATTTTATTTATTAACTTTTATATTTTTCAACTATTCTATTAATTATTTTTTCGTTCATCTTTAATTGTTGTTTTAAAATAATTTTTTTTATTAAATATCATTTTTATAATTTAATGTTATAATTAATCAATTACATATTTATTTTCTCAATAAATTCACTTCATATTTTCTATAAAATCAATTTTTTTCTTTTCGGGTCATACTAACATTTAGTTTAAAAGCATATATTAATGTACTTTAAAGACACATATTAAAGGTATTATAATTTTAAAAAATTGAATATAATAAAATTATATTTAAAATTTTAAAAAGTTAAATGCACATACTTCAAAAAAATATTATACTTTCTTAACATGTATTTTTATAGCACAAGTTAGCATTTTCCTTTTCTTAATTAGTTATTTTAAAGAGAAAATAAATAAAGAATAATAGGAAAAATAACTTTAACAATTTATTATTTAGTTGAAAAAATTTATGTTAAAATGATAATTAAAAAAAATAGAGAGAATATAATAAATAAGATATTTTTTTTAAATAATATTAACTTTATTATTAAAATTAATATCTAAGAACCACATAAAATTCAAATGAGATAATTATTATAAGACAAAATAAGTATTTAATATTTTTCTTTTAATAATCTACTTTATATATCAAAATAAAGATTTCACTAATATATTATAAGTCAATGTTTAACTTGTCCTAATAGTATTCTCTTTAAAAAGATATTTATATTATAAATAAAGTTCACTTTTTAATTATTTAATAAATTTGAAAAAAGTAAAATTTATTTATAATATAAAACCGAATAGTGTTAGTGTTTTGAAAAAAGCCATAAAGATTAATCTAAAAGAAAAAAAAATAGAGAACAAAAAAACATTAGGATATAATGTAACAATCATAAATTACTTAGACACTAATGGGTTTTCTTTCTTAATAAATTAAAGTTTTAAACAATCCGACTCACTATTATATTTATTAATTTGTTTTATCCGTATGGAATTAATAATTGTTTTAAAGTTTAGTCTCATTAATAATTGTTTTGTCCGTATGGAATTAAGAAATAATATCTAATTGCGCTATGGTTGATATGCAATCTTAATACTCTAAATCTCAAATAATAACTTAGTAAAAAAATAAGAAATAATCTACGAGTTAGAGTGAGTTGAAATCATATGTTTTTTTTTAATGTGAAATCTATTATATACTTCTTCCCTCCGTTTTAAAATTACGTTGTTTTATTAAATAAAATTTATTTTAAAATAAATATTATTTTTATTTGTTTGAATTAATAATTACTATAATTTTTCAATTGTGTTTTTCATTTTTTATTTCAAATACTACTTTTAATATATTAATAAAATTAATTTTATAAAAATATAATATCTTATATTTATAACAATATTATTGTATTATTTAATGTACGTATAAAAACTTTAAATCACAATCATTTTTTAAAATAAGAAAAATAATTAATTATATTTTTAGTTTTTTTAAATATTATAATTATTAATATATCTTTAATTAAATTCTTATCCACTAATATTATTAAATACTACTTCCGTCTCTAATTATAATTTTTTTTAAATTTTTTCTTTATATTTTTTTTATAAAATCCTCTTAAATTTTCGAAGTACATTGATAATTTTTTTAAACATATTTTTAATTATGTTATTTTATTTATTTATTTATAATAAATATACTTATATAAATATTAATTATTTTTTTCTTCTAAAAATAAATTTATAAAATTATATAAATGTTCAATATTTTAATTAACTTTTTTAATGACTGTGATTAAATTTTCAGAATCTTATATTTAAGGACTGAGATAGTACATATTTAATAAAAGAGGTAGTTTTATAATGAAAACATTAAATGTATAAACAAATTTTTTTTACAAGACTTTTACTTCGGGAGGGAGTAGTAGTATTACTTTTTATTTTCTTAATCGCCCTTCTGCTTTTTCTTTTAAAATATAAAATGAAGACTTTTCTTAACCGAGTCTTATTCTTTTCTTAAACACTACTTATATTCTCATGCTTCTTTGATCTATGTTACTTGTGTATCCATTTCACAAAAAAAATATAAATAATTATACAATGGAAATTGAGAAGAGAAAGAAGAAGAGAGTCACAAAAGAAGATGAAGAAAAAGAAGAGAATAGTGGTGTTCCAACCGAGGAAGAAGTTGAAGAGTTTTACACAATACTCAAAAGAATGAAAGTAGCTGTCAAATATTTCGACGACAAAGGAAAAGCCGGAAGAGATTGGAGAAAAACGCTTGAGAAACCGGCGGAGATCGCCGTCGCCTACGGCGGAGAAAATATCGCCGCCGTCAAATCTGGTGGGGAAGTGCTAACTATAAATCATGGTTTTGACTTGAACGCTGTGGCTCCTGAAGCCGCCGAAAACGGTGGCGCGTAGGATTTCTTTTGGGGCGTTTGTTCACGCGCCGTCGTTGTAACATTGAAGGCTTGGTTCGGTTTCTCCTAAGACGTTGGTTACCTTGGTTTCTCTGAACGAGAGATTGGTTCTACATCTGTCTTTCTTTTTTTCATTTTTTTTCTTCTTTTTTTGGAACTAATTTTTAACTTTTTTTTTTAATTAAATAATTGTAAGGTTGTAATAATTTAGCAACGTTGTCGTTTCGTGAACACTTTGTTTTTCTTTGTTATTGTCGTCTCTTGATCTGTTTTAATCTGAAATTAAATATGATGTGACTTTGTATTGAAATTTATTTTATTTCTTCAAACGGTAAAGTTCTTCCCTGCTCAGTTTAAGCTTTAATTTTGAATGATAGCTGAAAAGTGGGTTGATAGTTGGAAGAATTAAATTATAGATGTTAATTTGAGGTTGAAAAATTAGTGGATTGAGGTTCAAGTTTTTGTTGATGTCTTAAAAGTGAAAACACTCGCGTATAATTGTAGGGTTTTATAAATTTAAGTGTTGTCAATATGGAATATTAAAATGGAAATAGAGGATTTTGGAAGGAGAAGATTCTTAGGGGTTGATACGGCGATTTAAATTATCTCATTCTCTTCGGTGTTGGTACTATAGGAGACGGTTTTAAATTGTCATGGTGGAAGGATATCATTTCAATGTAAAAGTGGAAAAGAGGAATCACGTTGATATTTTTGGTGAAAATTGATATTTTTGGTGAAAATTGCAAGTTCAATCAGGGCATTAGAACTGCAATTCCTTTTTGGCATGCTTCTTGGATAATAAACTGTAATTTAAAAAATGGTTTTCCTGGTTTATTTGGGCGGAGTAGATTTAAATGCAGTTCGGTAGCGGAAATGGATGAATTGTCGCATGATGTTTGGTTCTGGGGGATTTTGGCGTCTTTGGTTGTGTGATACGGTAGGAGAAATGATTTGGTTTGTTTTGCGTTTTATCGCTGTTGCGGATAGCAAAAGTCGCCACCGACTTTTCTTTTATCTAATAAAGGAAAAGGTGAAACGAACAGGAAATATATTTTGAGATATTTTCTTGAGTTCGGGGGATAGGTTATGAAAAGGAAATGTGTTAGCATCATTTTCATCCGTAGTTATCTACGGGCTCTTAATTGCTTGATAACTTTGAAATGCTTTTGTGTTTGTGTAAGTTTGAAAATATTTTGAAAACGCCTAAGTTTGGCAAACTTTGCAATGATTCTCGTATCGTTGAGAATATATACAAATTGTTGGTTTTAAAAATATTTATTGAAAAGAAGTGTTTGAAAAAATATTTTAAAAATGTCAATATAAGGCAATTTTGTAATGATTCTCGTATAGTTGAAAATGTATACAAAAATGTTTGTTTTGACAAATATTTTGAAAGTGTGAGGTGCAAATGGTTTTGTTTGTGAGCAAGCAATTACGAGCAATCTACCTACCCAAAAAAGTCTTTGTTCTTTTCCTCATCCTTTAGATAATGCTTATATATCATTGATTGATAGAGAGCCTTATCATTGGATGTGAAGGGACCGGCGTGAGTCATCGTATAGTCATAGAAGGCAACTTGTAAAATGTTTTAGAAATTGTCGTAAGGGGCTAAGATCGTTTTCCGAAGGCAATATTGAAGGTTCATCGAGGGACTATGATATTTTAATCGAGGGTCTTTGCTAAAACATCTTACGTTCAAGGGACATGACTGTTTTTTATTCGAGGTAACAAGTGTGGATTACCCTAGAAGTGCATGTGTGCAAGGTGTTTTGTTTTCATGTATATTATCTTGAAATTAGGGTTGTCTAATATTGATTTTAAATCTTGTCTTACAAACTCTAATTACTAGCAATAATATGGAAAACGATAAATTGCGGAATTTAAATGTCCTACGCTATTACAATACTTTTGGAAATGGGGGATACAAATTTACAAAGGGGGGAGGGGAAGCAATAAAGCCCTAATTACTATTACAAACCATTGATCATGAATTACAATAATAATACACAAAAATGTAAAGATGAAGAAGACAAGAAAACAATTGCTTTCTAGGGTTTTTGATGAAAGAGAGGTTTTAATTACCCCAATTAAACTATTTGATTTTAATCACAAAAGAAATTAATTGATTATCTTAAATAAAAACCTAAAATCTAAGTTAGTTAAATTAAGAATAGAAAATGAAACCTAAGTCTATTTATTTAGAAAATAATTTGAAAGTTAATTTAAAAATATTTGAAGCATGGACAATAAATAAAAACCTAGTTTTAAATATTAACAAAAATAAAGGAAAGTATTTAAATTAAAATATTTAATTATTTAATTATTTAAGAAAATATATTTTTGATATTTTTATGGTTAAATAAAATATAGAAAAATATAAAGACAATAAAAAAAAGTTTTGGGCTAGAGTGTTAGAAAAGTAGAATAGAGGTATGAGAAAGTATTTTGGTTTTAGGCCCAAAACTGTTTTTGCTTTAGTCAGAAATAAAAATAAAAAGAGAATACTTGGGCTTGCGTTGAATGAGTAAAATGGGAGGTGATGAAAAGTAAAGAGGTCAGGGCCCAGGATTGGGAAGGCCCAAACGCGCTAGCAAACAAAAAAAAACAAAATAATGTGAAAAATATCAAAATGTGGCGCTGGGGCTCGAACCCAGGTCACAAGGGTGAAAGGCGTGCGCTTTAACCACTGGGGTGGTGATACATCCGGTAGTTAAGGCAACTATCACTAAATTTATTTTAAACCCATTCCTGAATTGTCATCTTCTTCTTCCTCGCGCTAGAAGCCATGGATACATTTTTGAAATTTCAATCTTGCTCATTTCTCAACCATTTCAGAAAGTGTAAACATCAAACTTGTTAGAAATTTCATCACGATTTCAAATATGTAAATAACTTGAACTAACACTCAAAGATGAACACGAATTTTTGTTGGTACAAAATTCTGACCTAATTTTTCTATAAGTTCAACTTCAAAATTCAAATCACTCAAGCAAGATAAATGAAAACTAAGGGCATGGTTAGGTTCAGGGCTATGATGTCTACATTTTATCTTTACAAAATAACTATTAATGATGCTTGTATGAGAAGTTCCAAGTTTGAAAAACTTACCTCAAAACTGGAAGTCGTGTTTGATGATTGAGCACTCCTTGAGATGTTGTGATGATCTGAATAGCTCCATTGAACCTCCAGGAAGCTAATGCAATCCTTACTTTAGATTGAGAGTGGATGTATTATTCTGGAGAAGTCAATGTGCAGAGCTCTGTTTTTGGTTATGGAAGATGAGGAAGATGGTGTTACAGTTGTGTTGTAGGTGTTTGGATAGTTTCTATATGAGTTATAGAAGCTTAGTGATTGATTAAAATGGAAAATGCACGAGTGGATTGTGAGATGGATGTTCAAAGTCAGAATATGCCACAAAAATGGTGTTTTGGTGCAAGTTCTGATTTGAGGCAGTTTGACAGAGTTTTAGGGCTTGTGAATTTGTGTCCTATGTTGCAAAATAGTGCCTCTATTTATAGGGAAATGTTTGGAGACTTGAGGTGATCAGAATCACAAGATCACATGTTATGGTTTTTTGACTTGTTTTTGAAGCAAGCTTGAAACATCTTGTTCCAATGTGAAGTACAAGGCTTGTAGAGTGGTTGAACAATTTAAACATGCTTCTTCAGTTGAATTTTCAATGTTGATGAATCTTGATATTTGAAATTCAATGTTGATCAAAAAGTCAAAGTTTGACTTTTGTGTATCAGTTAACTTTTCATCAATTGATCTAAAATTCAACTATCAATCCATTGATCTTGAGAAGTGATTTGAGCCATGAAATTAGGTCAACATGTTGTTTTTGAGTCCTTGAGATTATTCCTCAAGCCATTAGGTCATGTACTAGGTCAAAAGTCAATGATCAGTCATTCTCAATCAAAACCCTAATTTTGACAATTTTGCCTCTTTGATGATTTGAGGGATTTTCTTGAGGAATTATGATCAACACTTGATCAATTGATGGATATGACTTTAAAATGTTGATGTTGGAAAAAAATTAAGAAGTTTGACTGTATATTGACCATAATTGACTTTTTACCTAATATAGTTGATTTTCAGTTATCCGAGCAATTAACTGAGCAAATTTGTGGTGCAAGACTTGAAACTTGGTATGAGAAATCTTAGAGACCTATAATGAACCATGAAAGTAATTCGAGGCATAAAAAGTCCAATTGTCCTTGAAAAAAACGAAACCCTAATTTGGAGGCTCAGTGCTTATGAGTTGAGCTTATCTGATCAAACCCTTGGAACTTCTTGAGCATTTAAGATCTTTTGTGAGAAATGTATTGAGAATATAGAGGTAAAATTTTGGGGTACAATAGCTGCCCCTGTTCAATCTTCTTAAATCTGAAGAGTTAGATTGACTTGTTCGCCATTCGTGACTTGAGGGTAGAAATGATTGAACACTTAAGTGCCCAGAAATTTGCACTCGCTTGTTCACGAAGTAAGGTTGTTTGTTGATTATGTTAGAAATGGGTTTAAAGATGCCATTCAGAGGTAATTATTGATAGAAGTATCAGAATGAGTCTACGCTCGACTGTATTTGAAGAAATATCAGAATAAATCTTTGGTCGATTTCATCTGAACTAGAAAAGGTCTACTGAGAGAAGTATCAGAATAAATCCTTGGTCAATTTAATCTGATCCAGCAGAGGTCTTTGAATCTTTAACTGAGAGAAGTATCAGAATAGATCTTTGGTCGATTTACTCTGAGCCAGAAAAAGGTCTACTGAGAGAAGTATCAGAATAAATATCTGGTCAATTTAATCTGAGCCAACAGATGCTTGAAAATATTTAACTGAGAGAAGTATCAGAATAGATCTTTGGTCGATCTAATCTGAGCCAGAAAAAAGTCTACTGAGAGAAGTATCAAAATAAATCTTTGGTCGATTTAATCTGAGTCAGCAAATGCTTGAAAGTATTTAACTGAGAGAAGTATCAGAATAGATCTTTGGTCGATCTA